ACACACACACACACACACACACACACACATACACACACACACATACACACACACACACACAAATCAAAATCAAGTAGGAAAGGGTGTACGAGAAATATTGATGAACCTTCTGAAACCAGGCACCACACAAGCTTTCAAATCTTTCTTTTTTTTTCTTTTTTCTTTTCTTTTTTTTTTTGTCTTCATGGATTCCACCTTGTGGAAGACAGTAAGATAATTCACCTTTCTTTGAAAGGGGGCACAGATGACCAATTTTATTTTCTCAAAGAAGACAGTGCCACTGTCTGCTCAGGGGACAGAGAGTTTGCCCCACTCACCCATGAATCTCCTTCCTGGTCACAGGATGTGACTTCTTCTGATGCCATTTCTGGTTGACCTGACTCTGACAGAAACTCTCTACATAAATGGAGGCAAAAAAATGACTAATGACCAGTAGAATGCCAAGCTTTGTGCAGGGGCACTGAAACCCTTTAGGCTGCAAAACCTTCATATGGCAAATGGGAACAATCAAACCTCCTTTAAAGGCTTGATGTGGGGGATAAAATGAGGTGGTACTTTGTGCTCTGTTGGATTACCGCTCCTGATACATAACCGACCAGAAAGTATGCTCATTGTTGTGTTTCTGACACACATCTTGCCTCTCAACTTCTCTGTTACTGAAGTTATGGATAGTCCTATGAGCCGAAGTTGCACTTCCTGTCCACAAAGAATCTGCTGTGTGAAAATTCAAAGTCCACAAAAATACAAATATATTTCCTAAAAATCTCCAACCCCTGCCTGGGTAGCAGCACATTCTGGCCTTTGCTCCCCCAACTCACCTCTCTGTTTTACCTATGGTTGTATTTCTGTCTCTTGACCCAACAGGGGACAAGTAGGTTTGTATTCCCCTCTCAGGTGTCTGGTACTGAGGCATCAGCCTTGTCATTACCTCCAGTTGATTCCAAAGCCATCTCCAGAGCTTGACTCACCAGCATGAATGTGTACAATTACCAAGTGGAGGATCAATACAGACATCACACTGGTCCTGAATAGCATCCCTTGGGAACATGTGACTGGCCCTGTTTGTACTGGCTTCCATAGAACTTTTTTTACCTGACACAGAGCTAAGTGAATATTATGGGAAAGTCACCTGACCATTTACCCCCTGCAGTTGGCATTTGATTGTATCCAAGGCGAGACCTGAGAGTCTATGTGAAGATAGTCTCCTGAGAGGTATCATCTTGGAAGGAGAACAGCTTTCACTTGTTTGGCTAAGAGAAGAAGACAGCAGAGAAGGACTTAAACCCAAGCTCAGGAATGCGGCATGCCCAGACAAAAAGGCAGGCTTACCACTTCTTGACTTAACTTGAGCAATATATCTGGAGTAGGCTGCCACGGGGCACGAGCTTATGGTCCGATTATGGGCACAGTGAGTGAAATCCTGGTCAGCACAGAGCAAAATCCAGCTTCTGTTTATCTTCCACATCTGTTTATTATTATTATAATTATTATACCTTTGTTTTCAGCACATACCCTCTCCTTCCTGTCCATCCTTCCATGGTCCTCACCAACTTCCAGGTTCTTGAAGTAGAAGCCGTGAAATGTAACCAAAGGTCAGTTCACTGTCTTTTCTGTCTAGACTTTCATGATCTTGTAAGAGTTAGAGTTTGACAAAGAGCAAAGACGAGCAGGTCTTGAGGAGAGAAAATCCAAGCTCTGTTTAAGCCTATCAATTTACCTGGGCCTTAGCTGACCCCATGGACAACTGTTCAGCTCTTCCCCCACTATGAGCCTCTTCAGGAATTGGCACACTTGGACCTTTGGTTTCTCAAAGTTCATTCACCTCTATGCTTGGTTCCTTGTCCCCAGTCAGTGGAACTTAAGAAACCTGTACACACAAAAATAATGAATGAGCAATGCATCACTACCCTGTCTGCTTCATCCTCATCGCACTCCCAGGGCATTTTCTCCAGATGTTGACTTGATTTAATTTCAAGATAAGGGAAGACAATTCTGTAGGATTTAAGAATTAGTGGTTAGCAAGTATGGCACAGAGGGACATAGTCAAGGACTAGAAAGATTAGTTTTTGGTCTTGCATGTTTTGGACAAGTTACTCCCTTATTTATTTCAATGTCTCCTTCTGCGGAGAAGAGGTAATACTTGTCCTAAACAGGATATATGCAAAGCATCCAGCCAGTGACACAAATCGCTGAGTGTTTTCATAGGCTTGAGCTAGCCACGCCCAAGAATTCCAAGACGGGCCCGGTGGTTAAGGAGACCTAAAATAATTGACTGCTTCTGAGGAAACAGTGAGGAAGAAAGGAGCTGGTCCCCTGTCTGTACTCAGGATCAAGAGGTCACTATCTTGGTCACCAGGACCCATAGCATTTCTTCCGTGAAAGGACGTCAAGGCTCAGTGGCAAGTCTCTTGATGAATCAGCAGTATTGGCTTCCTGTGACTGATACTCATGACTCTCCTGTTGAGGTGTTATTGACTCTCCTGAAGGCCCCATTCTCCCCAGGCCGCCATTTTCTTTTTACTCAGAGATTCCCAGTCAGAGCTGTACACTAGAATCATCTGGGGCCATGGGTGGCCGGGTGAGCATAGCTGCCCTGCAGTCAAGAGATGAGAATCCCGCCATTCGATGCCTGAGCCTGTGTACCTTCTCCTCCTCTTCAGCTTGAGTTTAGGGAGCATCTTTCTTCCCACACGGATTCCCAATGGCTTTGGGAGCTTAATGGAATTGTCTGTGTCACTCTAAAACCTTTTATTTATTTATTGTACAATTGATTCTAATAGCATATTGGAATATTACCCAAGCAATATGTGGTATATTATTCAAGCAATATATGCCTAACTTTCCAGTTTAAGAAAAAAAAGAAGGAAGAATCATTAATTGAGTTCCTTTCTGGAACAACATGACCAAATAATTCAGAAACTCATTAATGATAATTTGCCTAAGTCATATTTGAATATTTCATGCCCTCTTTCACATTAGTATCTAGTTGGGTTTTAATTAGATTCACATCTTGTGTGAGTAGGGGTACTTGTGGCCAGCATGTGTCACACCCAAAGCCTCATTGTGGGGATCCCAGGTCATTTCCAAACCCTGGCTCTGATGCTTCAAGCCAGGCATGTGTGAGTCTCCCCTACAGACACAGCTTTCTCAGAGTGTGGCTGGAATAGAAGCAGCTAACACATGCCAGTGGCCTGCTCGTTGCTCCTCTTCCTCTGTGTTGAGTAATAAAGTTCAGTGGTGGAGAGACTAAAACGAAGTCAACAAATTAACTTGTGAGGCCCGGCAGAAGGCACAGCCTAGGGCCCTCATCTTTGAGATACGGGTCAGAGATGCTATTGGCAATTAAATGTTAGTTCTTTGGTTTCAGGGCATTCTTTTTCTCTTTAAAACAGGGCGGTATTTTATAAGGAAATATTTTCAACACTGCAGATTAAAGACCGATTCCTTCACCATCACTCACTAAGCTTTACTGCATGAGTCATCAATACCCTCTTCTATCCGCACATTCTTCTGTGGCTAGATTATTTATTTTATCAGGTATCTGATACCTGATGATGAGATACTGTCTCATCATCTGCCGGTATTTTAGTGTCTATTCATAGTGTCTAAACCTACAAAGGAAAGGCTCTGGGAAACCTTACCCCACAGGTAAATCTTAGGACACCTTAGAGTGAAGCTCAATAGAATACGTTGTTTCCTGCGCTCCAGGACCTCACTGGGTAGTTCCAGGGCGCAAGTACCCATTTCCAGACACAGACTTTGCCTTCGACTCTGCATCCATCCGTGAATTCACACGCAGGTAGTTCTCAGCAGCTTGTCATAACCGTGTGCTGCACACGGATGCTGAGAGCTGTGAAAACGGACTGGGAGTCTGAAAACT